CCTCCATTTGACCTAGTTTTTCTATCACATCTATATAAATTATAATTTGGAATCCAGATTTCACCATCCATGTAATCTTTTGTATGGGTGTCCGTGAATGCCCTAAATATTAGTTTGACTAATAGGAGGCCATTTATGAACTTAACTTTATTTCTTGACTTTGGCTTTAAACCTTAAATGTTTGCAAATATGAATGATTGTCCATATTGTGTGTCACTTCTGGAAGGTTTTGGTAGTTCTCCCTCCTCTCTACCCTACCCCTATGACTAAATTTTCTATTTCTGGGGGGAAGCCCTTTATGGCTTCTTAAAGCTACTGTGCTGATATAGTGCTAAGACACTCAAAGACTACAAGCGGATATAAATATGGTTTTCGAATGGGCAACTGAAAATAATATGATGTTCAATGGTGACGAGTTCCAGGTACTCAAGTATTGTGGAAACGAGGAACTTAAACGAAACACAGGTTACAGGACACAATCAGACCTACTCATAGACAAGCAATGGGTAAAATACTTGGGCATTATGATGTCTGACGACCGGACATTTAGTGAACATAACCAAGCAAACATTTTTTTTTTTTTTTTTTTTTTTGAGATATATACAAGAGTTGTTACATTCTTGTACAGCCACTAGTACGCGTAGCGTTTCGGGCAGGTCCCTGGAATACGATCCCCTGCCGCGAAGAATCGTTTTTTCATCCAAGTACACATTTTACTGTTGCGTTAAACAGAGGCTACAGTTAAGGAATTGCGCCCAGTAAATCCTCCCCAGCCAGGATACGAACCCATGACATAGCGCTCGCGGAACGCCAGGCGAGTGTCTCGCCACTACACCACGGAGACTGCTAAACATAGCGGCTGCCAGGAAAATGATAGGCTGGATTATGAGAACGTTCAAATCCAGAGACCCCACAGCAATGCTAATACTATTTAAATCACTGGTCCTGTCCCATGTTGAGTATTGCCCGGTACTCACTTCCCCTTTCAGAGCAGGCGTGATCTCTGAATTAGAGGGAATACAGGAATACAGAGAACATATGAGGCACGCATAGCACGCATACAAATGATAAAGCACCTAAATTACTGGGATCATCTCAGCTCTTAAAATGTACTTTCTGGAAAAGAGATGAGAAAGGTATCAAATAATATATACAGTACATGGAAGATACTGGAGGTCCAGGTCCCAAATTTGCACAGTAGAATAACAACCTACTGGAGCAAAAGGTATGGAAGGAAATGCAGAATAGAACCAGTGAGGAGTAGAGGTGCCATAGGTACAATCAGAGAAGACTGTTTGAACGTCAGAGGTCCACAGCTATTCAACACCCCAGCAAGCATTAGAAATATTGCCAGAACAAAGGTGGATGTATTCAAGAGGCACTTAGATAAGTTCTTGCAAACCAATCAGGCTGTAGTGGATATGTGGGCCTGCGGGCCACTCCAAGCAACAGCCTGTTGGATCAAGTTATCACAAGTCGACCCTGGCCCCAGGTTGGGTTTGGGGAGTAGAAGAACCCCCGAAACCCTCTCCAGGTATGCCCTGGAGGCTGTTTTGTTCGCCCGCAGCCAGCGCCTTCTTTTCTGGTGAAGAATGAGATGGCGGCATTCCGGAGGGGTCCTTTTGCTGGGGGGTGCATCATGTGCCGTGTCCGGTAACTGCTTTCCGTCGTTACCTGCGGGGCCGCCTGTTTCTGGGTTGATCTGGTTTCCCTGGTTCCAGGGCTCGTGTGTCTCGGGTCGTCCGGAGCGTCATTAAGTCTAGCTAGCCTGCTGTCTACTCTCGTTGCCATGATGTCTTGCGATGATATTCAGGCACAGGAGTTTTGGGAGTCTAAGAGTGTCTTGGCCGCCAGGTATCTTGTGATTGTCCCCGGCCCTCTGCTACTTTGTGTTACCTCGGGGCGTCTTACCTGGTTGATACCTGCTTGATGGGGTTCTGGGTCCACCAGGCTGTTGCTTGGAGCGGCCCGCAGGCCCACATATACCTGGTTGATGGGGTTCTGGGAGTTCTTCTACTCCCCAAGCCCGGCCCGAGGCCAGGCTTGACTTGTGAGAGTTTGGTCCACCAGGCTGTTGCTTGGAGCGGCCCGCAGGCCCACATATACCTGGTTGATGGGGTTCTGGGAGTTCTTCTACTCCCCAAGCCTAGCCCGAGGCCAGGCTTGACTTGTGGGAGCCTGGTCGCGGCCAATGGTCTCATCTTCGGAGTGATATCTGCAGTGCTGCCGCCTCCTTGTAAGTCCATGGGAGACACCCACCGCATAGGCTCGAACCTTCATCACTGCTCCAACAAACTTTCTTGATGAAATGGCAGTTTCTGGGTGAGCCACGGAGGCTTCCCGACACCCTCCCTCCCTCAAATCAGCAGCTTTCATCATTCAAGAACTGGCCCGTGGTGGCCCGGCTTACTGGGGCCGTCTCCCCCCCCCCCCCACGGGGGGGGGGTTAGTTGGACGAAGATTTGCTTTTTCTTTATAGGGAGGAGGAGGAGCCGGTCGGCTGAGCTGACAGCACGCTGGACTTGATCTTGTGGTCCTGGGTTCAATTCCGAGCGCCGGCGAGAAACAATGGGCAGAGTTTCTTTCACCCTATGCCCCTGTTACCTAGCAGTAAAATAGGTACCTGGGTGTTAGTCAGCTGTCACGGGCTGCTTCCTGGGGGTGGAGGCCTGGTCGAGGACCGGGCCGCGGGGACACTAAGCCCCGAAATCATCTCAAGATGACCTCAAGACAGTGAAGTGTAGAGGTGCCTTTGGTAATCAGAGAACAGTATAAACATCCGAAGCCCACCCTCTCTTCAACTTCCTTCCACCAGTCTCTCAGAGGGGCCTCGTAGCCTGGTGGATAGCGCGCAGGACTCGTAATTCTGTGTCGCGGGTTCGATTCCCGCACGAGGCAGAAACAAATGGGCAAAGTTTCTTTCACCCTGAATGCCCCTGTTACCTAGCAGTAAATAGGTACCTGGGTGTTAGTCAGCTGTCACGGGCTGCTTCCTGGGGGTGGAGGCCTGGTCAAGGACCGGGCCGCGGGGACACTAAAAAGCCCCGAAATCAACTCAAGATAACTCAAGATAACCTCAAGTCACAAGATATAGTGCCCAAACAAATGTGGACATCTTTAAGAGGCAGGTGGACAAATTCTACAGGAAGTTGCAAATCAGTCCGGTGTATTGGCTGTGAGCCTGTGGGTCCTCTGCAATTGACCATCTGATAAAGCAAGTTATTACTAAATAATCCTGACTCCACTGCTAAGTTTTGAAAACACAACTATTCCTTGAAACCAATTACAGGGTCGCCAGGGGCCAGGGCCAGGGAATAATGCCGTCACTTATGTGGGGTCGGGGAATACCACTGCCCCACATGTGGGCCAGACGATATCTGCCCCACATGTGAGCCAGACGATATCACTTCCTCACATGTGGGCCAGACGATAACACTGCCCCACGTGTGGGCCAGATAATACCATGTCCCCACATGTGGGCCATGAAAATGTCTTGCATATAGGTTAATTTTACAATTAATGTTTACTAGCTGCTTGACTATTGTTCCGTCTACACGAAACATAAAAGCTCTTGTATCCTTGAAATATGTGATTTACAGTCACCCTATTAAACCTATTTACATTTAACAGTATTTAGGTTGGGTAGAATGATGAAACATGATGTAAATCTCTGTTGATATTTTTTTAATTTGAATATTTTATTATACAGTCGAGCATTTCATAACTTTTGGCAAATCTCAATGCTATAGAGTAATGGGTGAAGCTTAGCTAACCCAATTTTTGTGTCTGGGAGCAATTATTATTTTCAATTGTTTATGCCTCCAAAAGTATAGTAAATGGCTATTATTCCCGCCCGAATTTGCTTTGAGCTTTGTCTAAGACGGCTTAAAGAAGGTCTTGAAGGCGGCCAATTCCTTAACTTAGAGCCGTGACACGTTTCACAAGTGGTCAGATTTCAGGTTCTTTTTAAGACGTCTTCCATAAGCTGTCTTAGGCAGAGTAAGGTATGAGGGGGATAATGACTTGGGGGCCCAGATTCACGAAGCAGGTACGTAAGTACTTACGAACCTGGGGCCAGATTCACGGAGCAGTTATGCCAGCACTTACGAACGTGTGCATCTTTCCTCAATCATTGACGGCCTTGTTTACATTTATTAAACAGTTTACAAGCATGAAAACTTGTCAATCAACTGTTGTTATTGTCATAAACAGCCTCCTGGTGCTTCGGAGCTCATTAACTGTTTAATAATTGTAAACAAAGCCGCCAAAGATTGAGAAAAGATGTACAGCTTCGCAAGTGCTTGCGTAACTGCTTCGTGAATCTGGGCCAAGTTTCTATAGTTAAGAAGCATAAGCAATCAGAAGATAACATTACCCCCCCCCCCCCCCCATGAACAAAAAATTTACCCGTTGTAAGTAAAGTAAATTAAGGTGGTATATTTCCTCTTGGTACTGTCATAGAGGACAAATGGATTAGATTCCTTCATAAAATGCTATATCTTTTTGCTCAGATTACTACTTGGGATATTTTCTGCTTTCCCATTAAGAGTACAGTATTGTATTATTATTCAAATAAGTAAAGGAAAGCTTTAGTATGCCCAAATAGTTGTCCCACTTCATTCTTAATATATTCAAATTGATATACATGCCTCTTGCAGACGAGGAGTCACAGTAACGTGGCTGAAGTATGTTGACCAGATCACACACTAGAAAGTGAAGGGACGACGACGTTTCGGTCCGTCCCGGACCATTCTCGAGTCGATTGTGATTTACGAATGGTCCGGGACGGACCGAAACGTCGTCGTCCCTTCGCTCTCTAGCGTGTGATTTGGTCAACATACACACCTCTTGTTATGGAAGGTGGTGAATTTTTCTATGCATGATATACGTTGCTGTGGAAATAACAATGTGGCTCAGGCGTCATGAGGTGAAAGATGTGACGCTGCGATGGGGAGACGTCGCCAGCAGATGTCTGAGCCGGTCACTGTCTTGCTTTACAGGGTGCTGGTAGAGTTTGCACGCGGCACGCGGTCAGCCGGAGGCAACCTGTTCTCCGGCGCGTATTCTCGCAAGACTCGTGCTCCGTGGATGGAAAAGTAAGGCTCATTGTGGGTCTTGTCTAGTAGGACCATTAAAAGAGAGTCTAGCTGAGGATTTTCTCGTTTTTTGAGAAATAATCTGAGGCTATGCTCTGCTCTATATTATGTCTTGTCCCATCATTCTCAGCTGGGGCCTCTTTTTTTTTCTTTACATTTACGGTTTGAAGCAAAAAACTGCACTTGATATCGGAGACGGTCTCTCGGGTATTTGTCCGTCGTTAGGCACGTGTCGCGTTGCTCATTTAGCGACTGAACGTGGCCATTAACGTCGAGTGGGTGTCTTTGGCAGTAACAAGTGCAGTTTCTTGTGTAGCGCCGTCACCAGTGCGGCTGCTGGTGTTGACTTGAGTGTGTTTCAGAGTGATGGTGGAGAAGGCGCGGGCATCCCCTCGGGTGCGATGGCCGCGAGGAGGCGGCGGTGGTGGTGGTGGAGGTGGTGGTGGTGGTGGTGGTGGTGGCGGTGCTAGTCAGCACCAAAACAGACCCCAACAACTCAGGTTACCTAGGCCATTCCTCATGTAGTAATTTAGGGAGTTACCTAAAAAAAAAAATTTTTTTTAGGCATCTTCATTACTTCACACTTTTAAAAGTTTATACTTCCGATAGTTTCAGAACTAACTTGATGAACCTGTATCGTAAAATTCTGACAAAACCCTTAAGGGTGCTAAAACATATTTCAACAATATTACTGAAACTTTTCAAAGTTAATCGCTATTTGTGTGAAGTAACTTATAGATTAATGATCAAATATACTTGAAATATTTTTGTGAAAAAATGATTTGATTTATATATATATATATATAACTCTCAGGGAAAATTGTCTAGAGTTATTGTTTCTGACTAACTTGTACATGAATTACAATGCAATATTGTGTATATTTACTAACTTTAAACCATTTCTAAATGAAAATGGACAATATTTGGAGAGCCCTTGCAATTCTCTCTCCTAACTCCCTACCCCTCTCATTCCTAATTGTCATTCTATCAGTCTCTCTCTCTCATTCTCTCTCTCTCTCATTCATTCTCTCTCTCTCTCATTCTCTCTCTCTCTCTCGTTCTCTCTCTCTCTCATTCTCTCTCTCTCATTCTTT